GCAAGATCAAATTTCATTGCAATAAATATTATTTCTATACAATCAGACCAGAACTAAGTCATTATAGACATAGTGAACAAAAACAGCCACAAATACAGTGTTTGCAAAAATTCTGTCTTTTTCTTGAGGTAACTTGGAAAAAAACAGCCCTATTATTCTTATATTACAAAAGGGAAAATATAGGTGGAAAAAACTTACTTCCCAGAACCCATCAGCAGACCTGTAGCAGATACTAGAAAAGAACTAAGGAAACCTGAGTCCTGACTTAATGATTTATTTATGACTGGTGTTTTTAATAATATATTTACTGAGATACTTTTAGTAATACATACTGGTACAGAGCATATATATATGTATTAATATGTATTGCATATGTATTGGCTGCAAAGCTAACACTTAGAAATTAGGAAATGACAAGATAGCTGTCTTAAATCAAACCTTTTGTGGTCTGTAATATAAGACAACATTCTCAAGAACACATAGTAACATTTCTGTAAGGCTACTGTCTTAACCAGCACACAACTCCATACACCGTCAACTGATAAGCAGCTATTGAATCATTTACTTCCCCTTCATCGTCAAATGTGTGTTACATGTCTCATTTAGAGCACATTGTTCAAACACTTCTCTGAAAATTGAAAGAATAACTTGTTTGTAAGCTAGCTTATGGAACTTACTGTGGTGGTATTTCACTGCTCCAATAAAATCCAATAAAGCATCCCAGTTCAGTGAAAATCTGGAATTATTTCTATTTTCCAGATATAAAATTGGATGTCAGAAAATAACCATATTATCACTCATTTCAGGGGTGGGGAGTGGGGTTCAATTTTGGAAACACAGTACCTGATTCTTCAGAGTAATTACTATATTAAAAATTAATTTCAAACTAGGAAGATGGAAGCCATCCTACAGGAAACTCTGAGTTCTGGGGATTCTTTCTTCCAAAATGGAACATAACCTTGAAGCTTCTTTTAAAAGTCAGTACTAAGACTCGGGACATTCCTGATGCTACTGTGTACTGTCAGCACATGACATCAGTGCTGACCTGAGAGAAGAGAAAACTTCTTTGAGCTAGGTAGGGCATGAAAAGAATATCTCCCCAGCTGAATGACTGCAGGGAAAGTCTTAAGTAAGAGGACTTCTGGGGAACACAGCATCATAAACCTGGTATTTGGCAAGGTACCCAACAGTAGCTCCAGCAGCTCATAAAATACTGCCTGGTTTCCATCTGCATTTTTAAAATCAGTATGCTACCGTGTAAAATGCTGATTTTGATGACACACATTATCTTTTGATGTGTTCAAAGCCCAAATCTCAGTTGTAGCCACAATACTTAGTACCTCTATAAATCATGCTTGAGGAATGCAGAAAGGTACAGGGGTGGGGGGTGGGAATTGCCATCTATAAAGAGCCCGTAAACAACTAGTCCAACGCCATATGAGAAACTCTGTATCAGAAACAGCATGAGCCACTATTGCTAGTTTGGTCAAAAAAGAGCCTCCCTTTCCACTCCTTGTACACTGCATCTCACCTCCGACTTGGTGAGCCCAGATTACCATTGGTGCATCAAAGGGGCCCATCAGGAAGGGGACCAAGGGGATGCCCCTTCCCCTGCACCTTCCTCCAGCCTCCATCAGCACCAAGCCTGGCTCTAGGCATGGGTGGTCACCACGATGCAAGCACAGAATGCTCTGAGCTCCCTTGGTGAGCTTTACAAGGTGCCACCTCCAGAGCCAAGCCCTCAGTGGTGCCACAGAGCTACTTGTAGGCCCTGGGTGAGGAGTGCAGGCTGCTGAAATTCAAAACAGATGCTCATGGCACATTGTGCTGTAGCTTATAGACTACTGGGTTGTAGGCAGCAGACCTCTCCCACTGGAGCAGTCCCATTTTTGAACAGAGAATCAATGTCTGCTGAACAAAAAGAGAGAGATCAGTGCTCAGTATACTTAACACTGAAATTGTGATCCCTCTTCCACACCAGATGCAGCAGAACACTCTGGGTGTTGTATAGCTCAAAAATGTTTTAATTACTGGGGTATGAGCTGCTTTGAATGTAGAAGATGGGTGATGATGAATATTCCTCTTTATGAAAATATTTTTACCTTGGTTCCAACAAATCTTCTCTGTCAAAACTAGCAGATATACCGCCACAAGTGTTTTTGTTCAAATCAGTATTTTCTGGCCTGCCATAAACTTAAATAGAAAATGCCCTATTGTACTTTTAGAGACCTCCCTTTGCCTTCCTGAAGTTTTTTGCCCTATGTATTATACAAACAATAGGAAGTGAAACAGTTGCTGACTTGTTTCTGAGCAGTTCCAGTTTCCCATTACAAATTTATACATTTTTCAGAAAAAAAAGAAAAACTAAGGCAGAGAACTGATGGAAAACTAGACCATAAACACACAACCAAAGACTAAACTGCAGACTACATAAGTCGTGGTATTAAGCTGAATAGTTAACCTTTATACTATTGCTTCCTAAGCTTTATTTTGCACAACTTTAATTTGAAAATCTAATAATGTTCTCGTAATGGATTTTTGGTGGCTTACAAGTATAGCAGATTCATCACGTAAACTGAAAATAAAAATTCCACTGTTTGGTATGAGGTTGCCACTCACCTCTGCTACCTGAGCCAGCTAAGCACTCACAGCAGTGATATGCTGTCATATTCTTTGTGAACCACTGCTAGAACAGGCCACCTAAAGACAGGCTACAATGATACTTTTGGATTCTGATTCTAATTCTACCTTGATGTACATTGCAGCAAGCAAGGGAACAAAGGGAACAGACTGTAACACTCCTTGTATTTTCTTTTTTTTTTTTTTTTTTTTTCCCTTTTTTTTTTTTTTTTGCCCTTGCACAAGGGTTTTCCCACTGACTTACCAAAACAGTTCTATTTTCTGACTCCAGTTATTTTATCCTATCTTAGTTTTCCTCCCAATCCACTGCCCTGCCATCATCATTTCCCATTCTGGCTTCCTTCCTGACTGGTTTTGCTCTTCCCATGGTTTCCCCCAAGTCTGGAGCACAGCCCCTAGGAGTGCTTCACCAGCAGCTTCAACCTTCCTAGCTCCTACTCGGTAACTCCAACCTTTTCTGTAACAGTGTCTCACCTCTTGCTTTTCTTTCTCCCTACTCCTTCAGTTGAACATCTTTAAATTAAACATCTTTTTGCTCCATTCTGCACAGCACAGTAGATAATGAAAGCTTAAACACAAGTACCTCCTGTTTCATTGTGTTTTTCTGCCCTGATCCAATCCGCTGGGGGCAGATTCTGCTCAGCATCATCGCTGGACCTTGTACAGCAGGAGCCAAGTCTTTCAGTAATCCAGATACAAAGCTTGGCATGCATTAACTGCGGCTTCTACTAATGCTTATAGGAACTTGGTCATGGTTTCTCATTATTTTCATAAAAATACCCAGGAGCACATAACTGGAGTACATTTCAGCTCATAAATTTCAAAACCTTGCTAGATTATTAAGTGTATGGGAGTATTGGAGCTTCTGAAATAAAAGGTTTTGAGAATTTTTTAACATAGGTAAAATTAATTTTTGTCCTACTATGTTAAAAGTGACCTGGTTGATCTAGTATTTCCCAAAATAATTTAAAACAATTTTATAAATCAGTTAAATTTTAGAACAGCAACTGAAAAACAGATCTATAGCAGGAAATATTGGCTAATAATAACAGGCATCAGTTACAACAAATAGACAGACATACCTGCCTATAAACATTTATACATAATCAGCCATGTTTTGGATGTTTCCAACTGAGATTCTGTCAGCACTTTCATCTTAAATAACTCTAAGATGTTGATAGACTTAAGGTATGGTTTTGCATGAGATAAAGGTGAACAGTGATAGCTATTTTCTATTTTACACGTATGAAAATATTTTAGCATGGGGAGTAGATGATATTCTTTTTATTACTGCATATATTTGTACAGCAGTGTAACCTCATGCTTTGATGTTCAGTCTGGGAAATTAATCCCCATGCTTTCTGCTCATGTTTCATGACTAGGCAACCTCCATCTTTATTACTAATTTTCAATTCTATTAATAAAAAACAGTAGCACTTCATCATTTTACTACACTGTTTAACAGGCTTTGGACACAAAATTGAAATTCACACTAAAGAATATTCTTGCATATAAAGATATTCATTATATTGTTACATTACAGTACATTTTATATTTGAAAACACTCAAGACAAACATGGAAGCCATCAGATTATTTCTAAGTGAAGATTCACATAGCTGAAAACAAGGGTTTTCTGAAATATGCCTTCAAGAAAGGGAAGTCAAACTTTATAAGGCAGAAAACTACATTCTACAAAAGACAGTTATTTTATGCAAATGTGAAATAGTCGATGCTCAGATGTGCTCAGAAATTCTGTTATAAGACATGATAAGGAACACATTCGGAAGGCTGAATGATACTGTTTCCTGTTCCACAAAATTATAAGATTTCAAAACATGATGCGGTGTCCAGGAGAAATTAATTTCTCTCAAAAGCTTCTAAGAGAAATACAGTCTTGTAAAGAAAGCCCTACTTTGTCTCTTAAAAAGAAATCCTAAAATGTGTACTTCAACACTTTTTTTTCAGGTCTAAGATATCAGTAGATATCACTACTTGGAACCTCACCAAAGAGATAATGCATAAAATCAATAACATCTATATAGTTTGAGACATTCTGATACTGTCACTTCTATATAACCAGAAGAACATCTGCTTAAATTTTATTTAGCTTACGGACAGTTACTTCTTCCCACCAAGGCAAAGAACAAACATGAAAAGTGAACATAAGCAGGATAAATCAAAATCAGCACTGCATGAAGTTTATCTGGTAATGATTTAAAAATGACTTCCAGAGCCAGGATTTCTGAAATACAAGAATCATGATTGTTTCACAGCAGAGAGAAGGCTATTTTTAGCTTACACGTATGAATTGAGAGTAGTGCACTATACAGCCACTTGTTAGATAGCATCATTTACTTACCTAAGCTTGATCTCGTGTTAGATCGCTCTATTATCGCATGCTTACTGGGGTTATTTAATACTGAGCGTTTGGCAAGCGAGATGTCTGCTGTGACTCGTGTAATTGATATACTGCAGAAATAAAACAAAATAGAACAACGTTATTTATCTTGTGGGGAGAAAAGAGATTTGTCTAACATTAGAAGATGTCTAAGACTAAAGGAAAACAAATTCTCATTGCTACAGTATGCTTTGAACAAAGAAAACAAAAAATAAGATATTTTATTTAACTACTATTGTTACGAGAACTATTGTAAAGACACCCTCCCTTGTGCATAGCACCAAAATACTACTGCATTTTGACCATGGACTGCAAAGCTACATGGATCTGCAAGAGTGGAGGCATGGGCAGGGCAGAGACATGCTGTAGAAGACGCACTTGTCCTCCCTGGGGACTCCAGGCTTGCTGTGGTGAGACCTTGCACCCAGTGTGCCCAGCATCAACTCTACAGAGTTTCAGGGCTCTAAAACTCCCCATTCACTGAAAGGAGATGTAATTTATCTCTGACTAAATAGTCTGCTTTCTTGTTTCCCTCATTTTGATTAAATCTTTTCAAAGATTTACAACCTGGCTTACCTCAACCATATGTATAAGAAATGTAGGGATATGCAGAGTTAATAGGTGAAGGTAAAGCTCCACAGGCAAACTAATACAACCATGCAACTCTGATCTTTATTGTTCAGTTTACTAGCATATATTTTGTTTTTTAAACTGAGTGCAAGAGCTACCTATTTTTCCAGAAAGATCAAGAAATATGCTGGCCTCCTAAAAATGGAGACTGCAACACAGAGAAGAAAACCACAGTAGTGAGGAAGCAAATGAAAACTCTGGGCTAAGTATCTCTAGTAAGCTCAGTTTTGTGTTTAGGAGAAAACATAAGCCAAGAAAAAAGTGGTTACTTCCAGCTGTTTGTGCAGACCTGGTACATAACCTTCTGGATATTCTTCTTCCTAGGAAAACGATTAACCCAGTTTGTTTTGCTTTCCAGGGCCAAAATACACCCTTTGTCTAAATTCCCCTTTAAACTCTGGTCTAATGAGGTTCAGAGGTCACGTTTTTCCAGTGCTGAGGGTTAAATCAGACTGATGGTATTCCCTTGTTCTTCCTTGTATGATTTTATTTACAATTTAAAAGGAGGAAGTGGATTTGCTAAGAACAGGGAGAGCTCCTCTCTAGAAAGCACACTCAAATGCTATTCAGCTGAAATGTAACCAAAGAAGTCATTTCCCAATGAGTTCAACATGTGTATATTTTTCCTAAAGCCCTATGAAACGTAACAAAGCCAAATGTTAATACAAAAAAGCAGAATTATTTTCAAAATACTGATCAGCAATATTATTTTGAAAATTTAGGCATGATTTAACTAAAGCTAAAAACATAATCAAGTGCTATTTCTGGCACAGCTCCTCTAATCCCATTAGCCTTAAAATGAAATCCAGCATGTTGTCTGTGCTACTGGTTAGTTACCTCTATTGGCTAATTGATGAACAGTACCAAATTTTCAATTTTTTTTCCTTCCTACCTGCTACAGGGAAAAAAATCCCCTTTTTCAAACTCAATTATGCAGTATTAAACAAAGAGTTATCAGTAAAAAAAATGACTTTTTTTTTTTTCATTTTAAGATCTGTTAACAACTTTTTAAGGTCATTTTAATATCTTTTGAGATATACCATAGAATCACCTGATAGGTGATAGAATACAGAATAGAACATCCTGAGTTGGAAGGGAACCACAAGGATCACAGAATCACAGAATTTCTAGGTTGGAAGAGACCTCAAGATCATCGAGTCCAACCTCTAACCGATCCTTTAGTCCAACTTCTGGCTCCACACAGGACCACCCAAAAACCAGACCACGTGTCTGAGAGCACTGTCCAAATGCTTCTTGAACTCCGGCAGTCTCAGTGCCGTGTCCACATCCCTGGGGAGCCTGTCCCAGTGCCCGACCACCCTCTGGGTGCAGAACCTTTCCCTAACCCCAGCCTGACCCTCCCCTGTCCCAGCTCCATGCCATTCCCTTGGGTCCTGTCGCTGTCCCCAGAGAGCAGAGCTCAGCGCCTGCCCCTCCGCTCCCCTGTGAGAGAGCTGCAGGCCGCCATGAGGCCTCCCCTCAGCCTGCTCTGCTCGGGGCTGAACAAACCCAGGGCCCTCAGCCACTCCTCATAAATCTTCCCCTCTAGACAATTTACCATCTGTGTAGCCCTCCTTTGGACACTCTCTAATAGTTTTATGTTCTTATATTGTGGTGCTAAAAACTGCATGCAGTACATGAGGTGAGGCAGCACCAGCGCATGGTAGCATGGGACAATCCCTTCCCTTGACTGATATAACAAGGACAAAAAGTAGCCCACTCTCCAAACAAAGGGTACATACGCCATTGTTTCTTAAAAACTAATTAGTGCCTAAGTAGAACCTGAACTCCAGTAAATTTGCAATGCAAAGTACTTACCGCCCTTCAAATCTATGTTTTAAAAAATCAAATAATGCTTTCTGCATCATATCTGTTACCTAAAAGCAAACAAACAGCAATTTAATATTCTCATATGAAACTGATAATACTTGATGTTATTAATTTGGATAAACCTGTAATTAAAGTTGACAGCAAATCTTGTATCTGAACAATATGATAGGAATATAAGTAATTAATTCTTTATTTGAAATTGGATATGAAATAAAATACATGTGACCAGGTATCTAGTAAAAGCGTAAGCTGTATATATATTTATCTATGAAAAAAAAAAAAAAAGTGATTCAGTTTAATTACTTTTGAACATTTAAATTCACGTAAAGCAAAATATTTTTGGCAAAATAGAACCATTCCCAACAATCACTTACCTCATATCCCTTCAAAGAAGGCCCCACTAAAACTACTGGTCGCATAGAAGGCACTACATCATAGGGAGGGATGTGCTCTGTCTGTAAAACAGAAAAAGCTCTCAGCATTGCAGCACCTAGGTAGAATGTTCATTACTTTCAATATTAGGAACTCTGAATTTCCAGTGATGTCACCAACTGAGGAACTGTGAATTCATTAACTTTTCGTGAAAAGTGGTACAAGTTCACAGGTTCAGGGATTTCTTTCGAAGAAGCTTTTAACTGACTTTCAGTTTTCTTACTACTTTCATGTTTGCTCTGGGTAGCTCGAAAACTGTTATTCTGGAGATGTGCGGATGTGCCACCCCATAATTCCTGACTGGTTAATTGAAAATGTTATTTCCAATAGTTAATGACTTGATACGATTGACTCTAGAGAGGTGACATCTGTATTCCCAACAAAATTTTATTAGGCAAATTACAGAGGAGAAAAATAAAACAAGAAGGGAAGAGAGAAGTCTAACATATCCTTTGCGCTCCAATCTGCGTACTGCTTTGCAAAACATCATGACACCACTGCAAATTCTAATGGAAGCACTCATAATCTGACTTCAACATTTGCATCCACAATTCACTTCCAAAAGAAAACAAAATAATGACTGATCAAGTTAGTCATTACAGAAAACTTTCATAAACAGAACTTGGGATAGCAATACTTCCACTTTAGGAAGTTTCCATAACCACCCAAGAGTGGATTATGTTAGTACAATATCCACCAAACTACTTACTGATGTATCATGCATGATTTAAAAAAAACATTTTGAATTAGAAATGTAAAAAAGATTGCCTGTTTCCAAAGACTGACAACATTTTTATATTGTTATTGAAACAAAATATAAGCAGATTAAACTTTTATTTTCTTTAATAAATGGCTATCCAATATATATATCAAAGAATGACTAATGTTGTCTTATCAGAAAGGGCTTTTTGTTTTTAAGAAAGGGTTTGGTTTATCTTTGTCTAGGGGAAAAATGTTTCAAATCCAAACCCAGGAGCCTGTGGGTGATACAGAAAGATGGTATACCAGATCCATTTTTCAGATGCCTACATAGTACAAATACATCAGTCAAGACTGTAGAAGACAGTCATTGTTCATTGTTTCAGTACTCAACATATCCCAAGATGTTTCACAATAACATTAAAGTATATACATTCCAAACACAAAAACACAGACAGACATTAATACAATGACAGCACAAAATGCTACACAAGCAGCAGTCTAAAGCAGTCTAAAACATGGAAAACATTTTTGCGAATGTTTTTAAATATAATTTATCTTCTTTTTTGTTACCTGTAGCTTTACCAGATAATTAGTAACATAAGAATGAATACCGGTGCCCAAGGCATCATAAGCATGTCAAATGAACTTATCTTAAACAGGGCAGAATCTAACTCAACACATTTCAAAGCAAAACCCTGCAATTACACCATTCCAGTATTAAAATGCAGCCCTCCAATGTTCTTGCCGATATTACTAATAATCTGATAAATGTATTAGAGTCAGCTCCTAAGAGAAAACAGTTACAGATGTGTCAGTGCTTATAGCATGAGTGTCCTGATGCAACAGATCTTTATTTTAATGCAGCAAACTCAACTGAAGATATTCATGCTAGAACTTAACCAGCTATTTGAAAATTAGGAAAAGTACAGAAGCTATCTTATTTGATGGAATATGGGTTATATTTAAGATCTGTTCTGCTGAAACAGGCTTTATTAATATTATTTTTAATTTTTGCAGCTTGAAGCAACAAAGGTTTCAGCAGAAAATTCACTAAGCAATCTAATGGAAGCACCTAAGTAATTCAGTACTAGTGAATTTAATATTCTAAGGGCCTGGCACTAACCTATACAGTTTAGTGCCAAGTTCAAACACAAACTTGGAATATAAACTAACGTAGTTCAGATTATATACCTTAGTGGTTTGACCATGAATGACTAATTTGGGATGCCCATTCAGTTTTTACTGTAAATGGCAGCATTAGAAAAGCAACTATAACCAGTAAAGACTGTGATATGGAAGAAAAGAGGCCCCACACAGTTAAGAGAGATGGAATTTGTCACTATCCAACAGCATGCTTTTTTGTCCACAAAACACATCTTCTAAAGATGCATTATGCAGATTAGCATCTAATATACATCAACATGCTTCCTTAGCATTTATACTTGGTTAGAAATACGATTAATGAATAAATTATTCAGAAGCAAGAAACTGCTGTTAAGTTCCACAGTGGGCTGTGAATGACATGGTACTTAACACACCCTACTAAAGAAAATACTAGTGACTGAAGATGAGAAGGATATAGTGTTTAAAGGAGCTCATGAGAGAATAAAATGCTTTATTCAGCTAAACAGGAGAGCATCCAATAGCACTGGCACCAGTGTCACTTGGTACTGTTTTTAATCACCATATATAGTCTGTTGTTACTTTAGATGTGAGTGGTTAAAACAAATGAAGAAGAGCTATGAAGAATTAGAAGATTTAAAACAAAAGTAGAAATGTAATATCCAGTTTCATAGTTTGGCTGCTAGCTAGTGTCTTGATAACATATTCTAGCAAAGATCCTAGAAGCATATGGCACAGTTTGCTGTAACAGGTTGCCAATGGCCTAATTCTGCAGTGCTTTGGGCTGTATATGGGGAGACATTGGCTCTCTGTGAGCCATCAGTACCATTTCCAATAGCTGAGATACTAAAAAAATCTGACTGATGGAAAGCAAGAACGTTTGTCTAGTAATTTATACATGACAATAGGATAAACTCACAGTAAGCTGCCAAAACAAGTCTGCAGTTTTCCACTGGTCTTGTTCATCTGCAGATTTTACACCAAGTGAATTAGAAGCTGAAATACTAAGTAAAAAATTCAAGGATTCTGACTATTTGTTGTGTAAATCCAATCTGAGTATCTGATTAGATTCCAATAATTATTTCAATAGACTGAGTTTTAATGAAAAAAAAAACAAAACACTCTGACAAAGAGATAGAAAGAACAAGCATGCACTAGAGGGGTGTATTATATGCATTTATAAGAAATAAATTCCTCAGAGATTTAGAAGGCCTTCTAAGTGTGTCTATTTATTCCATCAAAAAGGATAAGTACTGTAGCAGGGTTTCATGGATGCTCTCTGAACTTAGGACTTTATCTTTTAATGTACTGAATCCTCTAATAGCTTGATTAATCTCTTCTTTCAGTCTAGGATAGCTGCATTGTTAAACTGGGGTAATAATGCTAATGATGCCAGTGGCAGGATAAACATAGGTAATGCTGATATAAACTTACCGATTTCTGCTTCTGCTTAGCTACAGCAGCATGGAAAAGAAACAAAGAACAACAAAGCATGCATGTTATTGGCTTGTCAAAGGACGCAGACAATTAACAGGACTAGAAATGTGACGCAGTGCAGGTGAGCAGGTGGACAAATGGGAGCTTGGAAGTTGGTGTTACCTTCTTAAAGAAGGGCATTCTTTTCTCTTTGGAGTGGGGTGATGTTACACTGTTTGCACTGGGTTTGGGGGAGCGATGGTTTGCTGGAATATCATTTTCTTCTGCATCTAAGCCAGTGGCATCTATGTCTATAGCTATATACAGACAAACAATTCAGAATTATCAGATGACAGGGAAAGTAAAAAAAAGGTTAAAAAGGAAATAAAAAAAATAAAGAAAAATCCTGTCCAGAGTAAAATAAAAATTTAAAAAAACAACCATGAATACAAAACACAATAAAACAATGGGAAAAAATTTAAGGTGCAGTACATTAGGATTAGAAAACACGAGGCAGTCTGTAGCAGCTACTGTAACATTTTCCTCTGATCCCTTATTACAGAATTAAATCAGACATACACATAATTACTCTTAGAAAACAGAGGAGTGGCCAAGTTTTTTTGTTATACCAGTGTAAATCCAAACTAATTCACTGGAATAAACAAGACTTGCACAAAAGTAAAAAACAGAATCTGACCAACAACATTTGGCCAACAATATTTGCATTGTTTTATAGTGATAAACACTAAATAAAAAATGTGCATCATCAATTGAAATTTGAAATGTTACTGGTGTGTACTTGGAAATCAAAATAATAATAATTTTTGGAGCAAAAAAAAATAAAAAATCAGCCTAACAGTGGTACAGTAATACCAACATTTATCTTAGAGTTGGCATTTTTAAATCACCTTAACTAAAAATGCACAGTAGGCATAAGATACATTTATTAAAAATAATATACACAGACCTACCGATAATGAAAACTAAAAAAAAGAGGTATCAGAAGAGAGAAAATAGATCCAAGTTATCTCAGAGAGCTGGATCCTGTGTGAATAGTGAGGATATAGGCAGAGCAAAATGGAGCTGAATACAACAAACCTCTTTCAACCTCTTTCTCAAGGGAATAAACAGCACTCAAAGCCTGTACCATAAATATAAAATAGCTACCCTCTTTAGCAAGTAACTAGCTTGCAAAGTATCATCAGAGACTCAGAAATAAACACATCTTCAAAACGCAAGGCCATCCTGAAGGCAAAGCCCAATGAATACCTGACAACCAAAAAATCAGACAGTTTATAAGCCTTCTTGTTTACAGCACCCAATCCTGATCTTAGGTACTGTATTACCATTGTTTTCATAAAGCAAGTACATACACAAAAGTGATCTACAAACATGCTGTACAACATCACCCTTGCGTGAAAAGATCTTACCCATCTCTTGACACCCGCTGGTAACAGGCCCATCATCTCCTGCCATTATTATGCATTGAATGTAACCCTAAATAATCTGTAAGCAGTATCGTTTGCATAGACTTTATCCAAAACTATAATTAATCAGTGTAAGCTATTATGAAACCACCTTAGTGACCTGCTTTCAGCTGTTTGATGAGTGGGACATCAATTAATACAGCAGCCTGTGCCAATAAATTATGCAACACACAAATATTTCTGTCAAGGCTATGTGCAACTGCTGATTTAAGGGACACTTGGGACAGTGATCTCCTCCGATTGAGGGGAGTATATTTTCCCATTTGAATTGTCTACACATCTAATGCCACAATCCCTGACATGCCTTGAGTTTATACCTCTCCCTTTGAGGCTGACCTTGCCAGGAAAGCCCATGAGCAGATCTGCAGCCTGTTTCTATACTTCTGCTCCTAAAAACAGCCACAGAAATCACGTAACATTTTCTTCTAGCAAAGCTGTTCCTTCATCCTCTTCATAATTATAAAAAGAACATATTATCTTTTCTTGAATACAGGCCAGCACAGCCGCTATATAAACCCCTCATAATAAGACATATTAGAACACCTCCACTAAAATCATCTGTAAAGAGAATTGGGATTGTTAAGTTTTTCCTGTAAAAGAGAAATGCAGCATTTGATCAGCTATCAATATCTTCATTTTTCATTCTCAGTTTTCCCATTACATAACATCTGTGACAGGTGTGTTTTTTTTTTTTTAACTGTCAATTATTTTTAGTTAGCTGATTTTTTGTGTCTTTTTTTTCCTTTTTTTCCCAAACTCATTTTCCCAATTATCCACATCCTGCTTGGTAGTCAGTGAGGACTGTATGGGTTGATTTATTTACTTGTTTTCAGTCTTTCTTCACTGTGTTCCATGCTTTTGTGGCATTAGTTTATATTGGTGAAAAAAACAAACCCTAACTCAAAGTCAAAACATGAAGTTACCTTATTTTTGTTATCTTTTCTTCAAATTATTAAATAATTGATGTGTTTGCCATTTATTACACTTTCACAAAGAGAAGGCCTGGGAATAGCAGAAATGGACCAGGTCAGAATCGAACTGCACTTCAAAGTCAAGTGAGTTCTTGACTTTTGAGTTCATTAGTTACAAATTATGCTTCTTTCACCCTTGGTATGTTTTAAGATAAGCAACAAAATACTGCAGATCCCAAATATAAAGATCATAGTATAAGCAAACACAATCTACTCATAAATACTCTCCAAATTTGCAATGTAACTGAAACAACTTAAATAGATTTTCTTCTTTCTCCAGAAAACTATGTTTCTGAAAACTACTGTCTGAAGAAATGACTCAATGCAATGAAAATTACAGCATCACTAGCAATCAGTGAGTGGGCAACCTAATTATGCTATCTGTTCTCTTACCTTTAAATTCTGTGCAACATTCTGAAAATTTCATATGCACTGCTATCTAAGTGGGTTTAGTATATAAAAATATTATAACATTTCAGATGCTCTAATTAGAAAATTACAATATAGGTCTATGGACACTTTCTACTGCAAAAACGCAGCCATTGAAAAAGGGGCCTTAGCAGTAAATAGGACAGTTAAAGGCCTTTGTAAAGCCACAAAAGATTAGTGTGTTCTACCAACTTGTGACAGACACATATTAGTAAACTACGCATTTTCTTACAAAAATGGCAGATAGGGAACATAAGTGGAATTTTGATAAACAAACCGCAACTGTAATAAAGTTGGTCATTACAAACAAATTTATGTTTTAACAAGGACAGATACATTTTTCAATTAATTTAACCACATGAAGCTACTACCATAACTTGACTGAACTCCTGTCTCTCTCTTGATGTCCATGTCTTTAAAATCTTCAGGACCATTTTAAGATGCCTGCTCTGTATGCCAGCTCCATATAAACTAACGTGACATGAAAACACTCATCTTTGTCTCTGTAGGCAAGGTGCTAGCAATATTCACTATTTTTTTTGTGATTTCAGGTATTCCAACTGTCCTTTTTTTCTCTGAGGAGAAAATAAAGATTACACGCCAGTGTCCTACATGAACTCATGAAGAATTTGCTTCATACTTCTTAAGTCTAACATAACCAAAGTTAAGTCTGTTGATGCTCTAAATCCAAAACAATACTCATGAAAAAAGTCTTCTGTCAGAAAAGAAAAAAAAGATAACCAGTATGCTATAGTTATGTGAAGCAGATTTTCATTATCAGAACTGTGAAACTGAAAACTCCTGTTAAAAAAAAAAAAAAAAAGTCGGTTGTTGATGCTATGGCAGAGACTTCATGAGCATTTTTATTCTTATTGCTGTTTTTCCTCCTCTACCAGAATATATTTCTTGTTCAGCAGGATTCCCCAGACCAAGTCTTTAACTATCTCATCGCAAGACTATATCACCACTTGACTATTCCTCTGCTATAAAACCTTGCAGGAGAAGCAAAGAAGGAACTCTGTGGATTGCTAAGAGCCTATCATTGCCTACCCTTGCAGACATTAACTCTACTACTTCAAATGAACCCAAATCAGACCAATAGGGCAACACAAACACACTGGAAATAAGAAAAACAGAACTAAAAGTAATATAAATTTTAGCAGATGAAATGCCTGATTCTGTAATCTGGAGGGTTCATGACCTACTCACCAGATGATGGAGGCGTCGATTTTCTGGAACTAGGAACTATATCACCCAGACTGGATGAAGAGTTTCCTCCTGATTTACTGGAGTAAAGCAACAAATTAGTTTGAAGTTTTATAGCTTTATCAGTATTTATTCTAGCCTATTTATTACTTGTTTTATAAATGAGCTGCTAGACCAGAAGCAAACAGTATTTCTGACAGTGGTATAAAATATACATCTTACACTAAACACCTGTACATTTTGAAGACTGAGGAAGTGCAAACACCAATCACGCTCCTTGCTCTGTGCAACTTCATTCTGCTACATATGCTCTTACTGTGATCTGATCATTACTGACAATTAATATTATTACTATACATAATTTTTAAACCAATAAGAATATCTGTTTAACAGAATAATTATTAAGAGTGCCCTAATGAAACTGACAGTGTGTTTGTCTAGTGTCTTTTCAATTTAATTAAGCTACAAATTTGCTGTCTTGGTACAAGGTAGCACTTCGGTAAAAGAAGCCCGTCCAAGGAAGACAAAACAGCCTAAGATTTTGTCAGGCTTTGTGAAAGCCTACCCAAGTGGTGCAAATGGAAAAATATTTTTAGCAACTTTATTTTTGTTACTGTAACTAGAAAAGCACTGAAATGAATGTAAGAATGTATGTTTCTCTCTTCAAACAATTAATGCGGCAGTACTAGTTGATACTTTCTCTATCTAAAAATATTTATAATCACTAAGTAAATTCATTTGTAGTGTAGGACAGTGTTATCTCCAGCGAGAAGTTCTGGTGGACAGAAGCTTTTACAATTTGGGAAGTGACCAAATCATTGGGTCAGATGTGGCTGCATCAGAAAGGCCAGGAGACAAGTAAGGAACCAGATTCCTCCTGCTGAGGATGGGACACTCAGGAAAAGCATTTCCCAGCCAGTAAAGACAGCTGACGCTGCAGCATCCTGGTCTCCTCCTCATGTTGACTTGCTCTTCAGACACTGCTGCCCTTCCCATTGGAGCAGAAAAGCCTTTCTTACTTCCCAAATGTTTCCCAGATGTTTTCTCAGCTCCAGCTCCATCCCAACCAAACATAATAGAAATATTTCTGTATCCTATATACTCAAGGAGAAGCAAATGGCATTTGTTTCTATGTGTTACCTTTTGTTGGAAAACTACTGTATTAAGAATTCCACAGAAAGATCACGGTATTAGATCTTACATTATTGTACAATATGGTTAGATACTGAATCTGTATTTTTATGTCATTATGGCTGCAGTCAGACACAACAAATGAGACAGATCAAAACATTTTTCTCTGAGAGCTAGATAACAGCCAGGGGCTTTGCTTTATGAAAAAAAATAAAATCATATTAACATCCTCTGAAATTTCTGAAATCATCTTTAAAATAGTTTAGTATAGTACATATAGTATTGTGAAAAAAAATGTTATAGAACTTAGGGGGATTGATTTTTAGCTCAAAAATTGTGCTTTCACATAACAAATGTACTAACTGCAATGTGTATCTACAAATACTGTATGAAACTAAACCAGAATAAAAATCACAGACCATCACAGGCCACCAACCTAAGCACCCACTTGCACTCTGCAATGGCAATGACATTATTAATCGTATACATAAATATTACATTTTTCATTGACTCATCATTTTTGAAACCGTCAATTTTAACAATTAAAAAGATCTACAGCATACACAGCATTGATTTCCAAAATAACTGCTACAAGCAGTGCTACTACTTCTAATGTTTTGTTGTTGTTACCTGGAGTAGAATTTCCCTTGCTTTGCCTTTTGTTCATGCTGCAGCCTCATGTTTTCTAGTTTGACTGGGCTTGGTATGAATCCTATTTCACAGCCTTCTTTTACCAACCGTCCTATCCACCAGTCATTATTAAATTTCTACAAAAAAAAAAAAAAAAAAAAAAGAAGAAATAAAAAGTCATGTACTATGAAATTACTGTATTTGTGATCATTTTGTTATTATTTTTAACTTGCAGCTAAGTCATTTTATGTAATTCTTCCCTGCAGTTAATCATTGTACTATGTTATTATGGCAATGAAGAATAGTGGTAATGTTCAGAAATACATTAAAATAATTATACCTTCCAAATTATTAAAATGCTACAGTACTTAAGCAGAAACTTTCTCTCACAAAACATCATGATTCTCCCTGGCTGTAAATTCCACCCATTTCACCATCTTTATTTCTTCCTGCTTCACAGTCTTTTCTCTTCATACATTAGAGTTTCTTTTGTTCTCCCTTGATCTTTCTCCTCAGTGGACACCTGAGATTTCTTCTGATCTGCTCTTATCCAACAATTTTTACAATCTATTTTTTTCTTACTGTATTAAAATCAGTTCTATACTTTAAATAAAATACCACTTCTTAAGCTCTACTGCTTCTCTGAACTCACTACTACCTTCTGAAATATGACCACATTCCACTTCCTATATATCTTCTACTACCTACCTAAATACAGCTCATGTGATCTGTACGTTAAGCAGACAGTGACAGATCCACAAGGAATGGATATCTTTGGACAACTAAAAAAAATTACAGTTATACATATGCACATATTTCAATTAACTGAATTTCAGCCTTTTAAGTATGAGATAATGAGTGCTCCGATTTAATAATATTTATTCATACATTGTATTGGGCTTATGTGGCAATGGTTTGGTAGCAGAAGGCTGCAGGCATGGTCTCTGTGAGCAGAGCCCAGCAGATGCCCCATGTCAGAGAAGAGCCACCTCCAGCTGGCTCCAGAAGGGACCTACCGCTGGCCAGAGCTGAGCCAGGGCGCAACACTGGGTGGGCCTCTGGGAAAGCAGATTTAAGGAATGGGGGGAAAAAAATACAAACTGCTGTGCAACAGCAGCTTGGAGAGAGGGGTGAGAGCCAACACTGCTGACTCCAGGGTCAGCATAGCAGGAGGGCAGGAGGTGCTCCAGGCACGCAGCAGCAGTTCCCCTGCAGCCTGTGGAGAGGCCCCTGGTTGATCAGGCTGTCCCCCTGCAGCCCATGGGTCCCACATGGAGCAGATCTCCACGCTGCAGCCCCCCCATGGGTGGAGGAGCCCCTGGTGGAGCAGGTGGATGTGGCCTGTGCAGAGGCCCCTTAGGAGCAAACTTTTCTGAAAGCTGTGTTAGTTCAAACATCTTATTAAAATTATAACTTTTTGCTACAAAATGCTAATTAAAGACATGCATGTGTATTTCAAATACACTATAAGACAATATAGGTGGAGGAAGACTATAGTAATTGAGTCAACAGAGGTTGCCATTATATGGATCTGGCCTACGCTATACACAAAATCTGCAAAAGTAGTATTGCTTAGCTTGGTAAAAGGAAGAGACAGATAATTAAAAAACAAAACAAAACAACAACAACAAAAAAAACCACCATTATATTAAAATCTGAACAGTCAGTACTTATTAAAACTTTCCTATCGAACAACAGACAAAACTAGTCTTAATTTGTGATTCTGTGATTCTGAATTTAATAGAAGTACTAAATCTATAGGAATTTTTCTTCTTACAAAAATAAAAGCAGTCATACTTGCAAAGTCTCAACGCTAACTACTGTTGTCAGTATATGAAAAGGAGGATAAGGTAGTTTTATGAGAAAGTAATACTACAGATAACACTTCCTAATATTACAAAGCAATAGCGGGAATTTTGGTAGTGTGACCAGCTCTCAAGGTGCTGGGTGGGATCAGTGATTCTCTTTAAGACTTGGAGAGCTTGGAGAGCCAAGTGAAATACAAATAGGAATTAAATGCAAAGTAGAATTATGGCCATGCATTTATGCCCTGAAAAATTCAGGATTGACTGTGATGCAGGATGCAATCTGTCATCTTTATATATACTGAGCTTTAATGACTCTAACTTAATAATAAAAACAAATTTCCCTCATATTTAATCAGTGCAGCCCTCAAGAAAAAAAAATGAGGTTTTCCTTGCTTGAGCCCTCTTAGCAGCATAAATTGGAGAAAACTCCTCACAGATAAGAACAGGACAACATCAATCCTATATGGTATTGCTGTGCAGTCAAACATCACAAGAGATTGTCGTACTGTTTTTTGTTGTTGTTGTTGTTTTTCTTAAATATTTGTGATGTGAAAAGCAACGCTACATTTTATAGCAGTGTATATAATATGTTTGTTTTTTTTTTTACTTTCATCTGCAGAAATAATTAAATTTTAGAGATTTCAGTTCTCCCTACGTTAACTCTAGAGAGCACCAAAATGAATGAAGGAGAGATGTCTGGTTGGTTACAGAGCCTTGAAGAGCAAGTAGGTGAGGGCCACCACAGGGGAATGCACAGGCTGAGGAAGGGGTGCTGCTTGAGCACCCTCCAGAAGAGGTCGGAGACCCCCAGAAGCAGCAGCCACTGCCCAATGAGTCTGATTCCTTGGGCTCCCAGCCTGGCAGTGAGCCTGACCTGGGGCGCAGGGTCCCAGCCACATCCCTGCTCTGGCCTAACATCACTGGACAGTCAAATCCCCTGAACTGCTCAGAGGGGAAAAAAGATTTTTGATTTTTGAAGACAAGTGTGCAGAGTGCTTGTTGTATTACACCTGAAGCTGCATAAAGAACTGCAGTCTAATCTTGTTTTTCATTCCACAGTGCTACATGCACCCACCCACAGACAATATAACACCTCAGCTGAGTTAAGCTTCCTTTCAAGATATTTCTGAAGATTAGGAAAAGTTCGGGAAACTCTGTCTTCCTCATTATCTTCCATGTATTTTTACACCCAAGACTAAGTTCAGCTATGAGGAAAAAAATATATATTCTAACAGAAATATGCTGACAGCCTGTTTCTGGTTCACATGGAAACAGGGGAAAGGCTTGATGTGAAGTCAGAGACTACCAGCTCATTTGATATATAGGTGGAATAGATAATCATACAAAATCATTGAATCTAACCAAACTGCACCAGATTCATCAGAAAATGCTGATGGCTTTCTTTTGCCAAGACTGTGCCTGCTCATCCCTACTTCTGTCATAAGAAGTAAAGCAATTCTCTTTTGCACTATCATCAGACTTCAAACATTGTCTTTGCTATATACACTTGCTTGGAATCCAAATCATCCTTTTTTTTCTATGTGTTTCATATATATGGAAAATGCTGATCACTAATCATCAGGGTACTAAAAGTCCACTTCTTGTGTTTCCTTTGTATTTGTCCACCTGCATTTCTATCTGTGTATTAGGGAAAGCTTCTTGCTTCTACAAAGTACCTGTCCTAGCAGAAATTGCTATGCATCATGAATTGTAGTGACTGAGGGATTTTTTCAGCATTAAAAAACTGGATAATCTAAAATGGGTCTAAGATATAATTTCAAGTGTATGACTAAGCTGTTGTCCTCAAGCAAATTTTCCAGTTCTTCTGCTACAAATCTCTGTTGTTGGATGGACCACTTTGTGGCAAAATACAATGGAATATGACCAGAACCTGGGAAATCTGGTAAAATGAAATCATTCAGAATAGAGCAGTAGGGTGCTTAGGAAGGTTTGTATAGGAAAGTTACCAAGTTTTAATTATCTTGCAAGGAGGAGAGAAAGAACAAGAATTTAAGTGTTTGAAAGTCCACAAAACCTGAAAATTTTCAAAGAAAAACTACAGAAAAAGAAAAGCAATGAAGCAAACTCAAAGTACGTTTTTTGACAGTTGATATGTATATCTTGAAATTTATGACTTCAATTCTTCAGTATGTGGCTCTTAAAAATAAAATATTTTCTGTGTCAGAGAAATAACTTTCATGAAAAACAGGACCTGAAGATTTGGGAGGTTAATCTAACCATTAAGAAATGGTAGCACTGTTACTCAAACAGATCTTTGAAGAGATTCACTTACTCCTTAAGTTTTACTTACTTCTTTAACGTGAAGAAAATCTTTAGCCTCAAATGAGATGGCCATGCCTGGGACTGGAACATCGTCATCATGAGCTGCACTGTAACCAACATTTGTCCGAACTGCAAACGCAACAGGTTTTGTCTGCAAAGTAAAGAAAAAAAACCATGAGGATTTCCCTCACAAATGTGCATATATACAATTGTACGCACAGAAGATGATTTCTGTAAGTTGTCTTTTTAAAATAATAAAAATGACAAGGAACTTTCAAAACATATGCTGTTCTTCTCAAAATATTTGCTGATCATATGACAGTCAATTTATGTGAGGCAAATGGCTGACGCTTTGTTCCAAAGCAACTGAATCATCAGGAATGCTTGTGTTAGGCTCATCCAGAAGGTCAAAGTCTTCAAAAGTTACTAGCAACTGAGAACACAGAAAGACTGAAGCACCTAAAATCTCTAGTTGCCATGGAAAACTCAGAGCAAAAGTCCATATTAAATGTACGCTGGATCAACATGTTGTGAAAAATCAACATTCTACAAATCACAGTAGGAACTAAAGGACAGCATCATTTTTTTCCTGTTGTTAAATAGAGAAGCTCAAAATGCGCTTTTATGCTATAAACTATCCATTTAAAACATTATGAAGGGTCATGTTTACTTACCTTTGTTATTTAATATCAACACATTTTATGGATTGCAAGATTTTTTTTTTAGTTACTAGCACTCTGAACTCATTTGGGTTAAACCAAATCAGGAATTAGAATCATAAAACAGTTGACAAGCCATAAACTGTGCTCAGTTATGATGGAATTGCACAGTAGATCTTCATTTGGCTGAGATTTATTGGAGATTTCTAACCATAGTTCTGTACTGAGGTGGTCATGCATCTCACTTGCATTGCAGTATATTTCAGAGGTGTGCTTGCACTTGCATGCAACATTTATTCTGCTTTCAAAGCAATTACAAGGCCCCTATTGACTTCAGAAGGGAATTAGAACAAGGGAGTCAGACTTCAGGTTTACCTAGTACTTGCTTCTCGAAGTTTAAATTGCAATGGTTTACTATGCTTTGCTAATATACATAGAAATACAATTAAAATGTATATAATAATGAGAAATTAGATATACACAATAAAAGTCATGAAATTCAAACATGGTTATGGCCAAACCTATTGTAATTTGGCTCCACTGCCTACACACTGTAATCCCACTCACATCAGCAACGGAAGGAAGAATAAGAAGTATGAGGCACATTTAAATTTATTTTTAAGGAAGCCAAATGGAGTCCTGAGATTTCATCAGCAGCACTAATCTGTTACCTATCCCCAGCACTTCAACAAAAGTTGAGCACTTCCTCTTCAGCCGAGATGAAAGTCCGCTTGCAGTTCTGCTGCCATGCTTGCCTACAGCTACCTCGCACTATGAAGAGTCCCATGTCAGCCCCAACACAGCCTTCAGGAAACTCCACAGTGAGGAGGATCCAGCATCCATCAGGGACCCTGAGCAAGGTGCCTCGCTGCAGAGGCATTCTGAGAGTGTGGGTCATGTCAGACCATCACCAAATACTGGCCACAGAGAGACTGGTAGATTCCCGTAACTCATACCTATACTGGTAGTCAGTATCAGTAGGTTACAGGTTTTTTTCAAGTTTTATTTTCAAGAAGCAGTTGCAGAAACAGCCAGTGGGTCCTGTGGGCCCACACTGAGGCTGAAAGCCTTTCTGCACAGGAAGGGTTAAGCAGGTAGCAAGAGCTGCTATCCAGCTCAGTGCAGCCTATACAAGCCTATATAGAGGGCTTCCTCCTCTTGGAGTTGCAACCAGAACACAGGAGAAAAACCTCCACTGTGGTTTATTCTCCCCCCCAAAATGCCTTGAGCTTGCTCTCCTGGCAGAGGATATGAAGCACAGCATTCCTAGGACCCACCGTTGTCCCACCCCAAATCCTCCACACTGCTTGCCAGGTCTGGTCTAAAGGCCCCACACATTATGGCTGGCATATCTTTGTGAACTGAGACCCACGAGTGCTCACAACTGGTTGAGGAGGGTGTGACATAACTTTTCGTCTCAAAATATATTAGAACTTTTGCCAGACAACAGTTTTAGTTTTATTAGTAATGATTTCATTGATGCCAATTTGAATGCTACCAAGAGCAGACATAGTATGTTTTGGGTAAAGAGTACGATATTTTGCTAAGATGACAAGGTGAAAACAACAATAACAACCACCTCAATTCCTATGTAAGGAATTGCTTACATTTCTTCATGAGAAGGAAGATATGAAAACACATTGCATACTTCATAAATGAAGACCCAAAAGCCTGAGACCATGAATCATGTAATATTTTTCTGATTACCAAAAATCCCTGACTGTTCCAACCAGGTTGATTCTGACAACTTGCACCATGCCAGAGGTCAGAAATCTGCAGCATTTAAAACCGTGATAAAATAGTGATAGAGACATATAAATAATTCTAAAAACAATATCATGCTACCTGGCCTGGAAAGGACAGTTGGAAATGACGGGAGAAAGGTTCCCTGCTGCTTAATTTAGGTCTAATGTGCTATAAAAGCCACGGGGTTCCAATAAAGCACATTTTAAAACTGCTTAAATAGGCCTGTATTTGAATGAACTGCCGCAGTCAAACAATTTACATCTAAGTGCATATTCTAGGGAGGATTTTTAATTTAGAAGGAGAAATAGTATGCTTTTTCATAACATTGGGTCAAGATTGTCTCAGTGTCCAAAAATAAAACAGTTACACTAGCAATAAGTTGTGGAATGGGCTTCATATTTACGTGGTATTTAAAATCTAAATAGGCATTTGTACAAAGAGATCCTCAGGAAACTATCAGAAAAAGCCTTTATCAATTCTGTTCATTCTTTGAGAGTTAGTGGAAAAATTGTAAAGGCTGTGGATGAAGGGCTCTCCAGGCTGAAACTGGCACCATTTAAACTGTGAGGCTGAACATATTTATGGGTTACCTGGCTGTGATTGTTCTGCTACTAATTCCTCTCCTCCCCATCTCAGTGTCTAAAAGGAGTTGATGACTAGAACTGAGGTTTTAAAAAACTGGTATATCAGTCACCTGAGTGAAAAATAAGCGATCATTTCAACGTAATTCTTACACATGACCGCAGGATTACGTTATTACACATTATTACAGAAGCCACACTTAAACATGGAAAACAATTATAGTTGAAAACAAATCTGCTCTGAAACTTTCTGGAGAAAAAAAGTGTTTTTTTTGTTTTTTTTTTTTTTTTTTCCTTGTGCAATGGGACATTAATTAACAAAAACCTACTTAAACCATCTTTGCGTATTCTTCCAGAAGCCAAAAAATTCACTTTCGGATAGTATTATGGACAGAAAGTAACACTTATCCCAACCCATGTGATTGTCTGGCAAAAGACAATTTACAATTTACCTTCCATATCAGCACCAAGTTCAGAATAAACTCCACAAATCCTCACATGTGCTTTTAGTTACAAATAGCAAAACGGATAGAGCCATATAGAGATGAAAATAGGGAAGTGGGCTCTGTTTTTCTCTCGCTTTTAAGGGAAAATTGAATGTTTTAGGACTTATTTTTCCTTAAGGGACCTCATTGAATACACAAATCAAAAATATGTTTCCTTTTGAGATAAGTCATACGTTATAATAAACAACAACAACAAACACACATGGAAATAATTAAAGAGTAAGTTTTGGCACTTGTATATTGACATCACATCATTCAGACTTTTCATGCAGTACATCTTAGTGCTTCTTTATCTTCTCAGAAAAACTATTTATTTATTTATTTATTTATTTTTCCTACTCTGGTTCTCTTTGCCTGTGAATTTAGGTATGTATTATGCATCATATATACTGTGGCTATGAACCACTGCCTATATTTTCTGCTTGCCTCCCAGATTTCAAAATAACACATTCCAAGAGTTCATTGTATTTCTTGTTTAGCTACAGTTAGAATATTACAAACACTTAATTGCTTTTTTGGAGATCACTTCAAGTGTTGTTGAAACAACAACATAAATTTTTAAACAAAAATTAACAAGCTAGAAAAAAAAAAAGTAGAATACTATGCATAAAGCAATAATCAAATAGCCAATAATTTAAAATATCTAAGTCTTCTTTCAATGAGAAAAATCCTATTGCTGTTGGAACATGTTAGAGATGCTAGTCAGGAGGTAAATTATATGAAAAGCTTGACTGCATTTGCATTGTGCAACAGAATAAAGCTCAAATCAGAAATTATATTTAAAACGTACATGGACACACCGGTTACATTATTCTGATCAAATTCATCCATTAACAGGAAATTTGTAGCAAAATATGTATGGCAAGGGAACTGATTGATTATTTTACTAGATGTTCTTATTAGATACCACCCTATATTAGAGAATGATAGCCACAATGATAAACATTATTTGCATATAAACAATTATATGTAAATATCCGTTATATATATATATACGTATATATATATATATAATATATACATATAACAACACAATCAAAAACGAGCAGATGCTTATTTTGCTTTGCATCTTTCTAATACCCTGAACTATTCCATTTTGATGCAGAAGGACACATAACAGGATTTCTGGACTCCAGTATAAGAGAGATGTATGTGAAAGCTAGACACCCAGGTCCTTTAATAAGCCCTTAATAAGTTCACCTTGTCATTAAACAGATGAACTGTTAGAAGGGCATCAAAACATGACTATGCATTCATGAATACATTTCTGAAAATGGGCATTTATGAGAATGATCATCCACAAAATAAAATCTGGCGATTCCTCTGTAACAATTTAAAAACATTACAGTGTTGATGCAACACGGATGTCCAATTCCTAGCAACCCAACATCATATCTGATTCAATTCCTCTAACATTCTTAGTTTCAACAAGCACTCAGTTCCTATGCCACAGATAGCTATCTATGAGATGGTAGAATTAAGTATGCCAGAAAGAAAAAAAGTAGTCATATAGATACTGAATTCACTGGTATCAAGTACCTTCCTTAAAAATAAAAGCCAACAAAATTATCGGTTCCTTTTTTTTTTTATATATATACATATTCATACAAAACTTCACAATTTTCCTCGATATAAAAATTCTACACTAACAGAATCGAT